TCTGGCGGCTGCTTGCGTCCCAGAGCCTTCTACCCTCTTCAGACCCACGGCCCGTGGATCAGCCATGTGACTCGGGGAGCCTACCTAGAGGACCAGCTGGCCTGGGACTGGGGCCCCGAGGGGGAGGAGACGGAGACACAGACTTGTCCGTCCCACACGGAAACCGGTGGTGAGGAAGGAGGCCTTGGGCTTGGTCCTGGGGGTGCTTGGACCCTGGCGGAGGCTTCAGGGGTCCGCTGTGAGAACCCCACTGAGGCGGCCACCTCCTCTCCCTAGCCTGCGGCCTGCGGCCAGAGCCGGCTCCCACGGGGCTCCGGTGGCCGTGGCTGGCTGAGGTGCACGTGGCTGGTGATCGAGTCTGCACGGGGGTCCTCGTGGCGCCAGGCTGGGTCCTGGCAGCCACTCACTGTGTCCTCAGGTGGGTCTCACCCATCTCCTGGGCAACGGGAAAACTGGGAGACGGGCCCGGGATTCTTGCCATTGTGGGATATCCCCCGTTAGGGCTCTTAGAGCACAGGGGAACCTCTGGGAAGGGTTTCCAGGCAGAAGGGAGATGTGGAGGGAGCAATAATAAAGTGGAATAACTTTGGGGATTCGTCCCACCCCCTCCCCTGGGCTGGGGAAGGCCTTACCATCAGGGGGATGCCGGTTGAGGATGGGCAGGAGGTAACCATGGGCCTGTTCCCACAGGCCAGGCTCCACAACCGTGCCTTACATCGAAGTGTACCTGGGCCGGACCGGGGCCAGCCCCCTCCCACAGGTCCACCAGGTGTCCCGGGCGGTCGTCAGCATCCGCCTGCCCCGGCACCTGGGCCTCCGGCCCCCTCTGGCCCTCCTGGAGCTGAGCTCCCGGGTGGAGCCCTCCCCGTCAGCCTTGTCCGTCTGCCTCCACCCCGGGGGCGTCCCCCTGGGAAGCAGCTGCTGGGTGCTGGGCTGGAAGGACCCCCAGGACCGAGGTGAGAGCCCTGGGTGCCGGGGGTGAGACGCGACCAGAGGCCAGCATCCCTGGGACAACCTTCTCTCCTCTCTCTAGTCCCTGTGGCTGCTGCCGTCTCCATCTTGACGCCACGGCTCTGCCACTGCCTCTATGACGGCATTCTGCCCCCCGGGACGCTCTGTGTCCTGTACGCAGAGGGGCAGGAAGACAGGTGTGAGGTACAGGGGCCTGGGTGTCCTGCCCCAGGGAGGGGGAGGCAGTGCTGGGCAGCTGGACCCCGGAGAGAGGCTCTGCGGGTTAAAACTCTTGGGTTCGGGGTCTGAAATGGGTGGAAGCGGTGTCTCCTGGTTGGACCTTGGAGAGCGACCAGGGCTCTGGGTGCCTGAGGATGGAGACCAGCAGGACTTTGGGCTGGACGCTAGGAGGGGGGGCAGGCACTGGGAGGAAGGGTAGGAGACCTTTGGGCCTGGCTTTTCCTCCGCAGGTGACCTCCGCACCTCCGCTCCTGTGCCAGAGCGAGGGAGGCCCCTGGGTCCTCGTGGGCATGGCTGTTCGAGGGAGCCGGGAGCTGTTTGCCGCCGTCGGCTCCGAAGAGGCCTGGCTCTCCCAGATAGTGGGAGAGGCTCATTTCCTGCCCTCCAGTGGCTCCCCCTACTGGCCCCCTGAAGGCAGCTACCTCTGTCCTCCGGACATGGCCGGGGCCTCAGGCTCCCCTCCTGCTGCTCTGTTCCTGCTGCTGCTGACCCCCCTGATTCAGGAGTGAGGGGTCTGGCTTCCGGACCACCTCCCCTCCTCCTTCCCCACCCCCTCCAGCCCTCTACTTCCTTCCCAGTGGGGTTGGAATGTGACTTAACCGGCTTTCGATCCCTTTGCCAGAACCTCCAGAGCTCCCCACCCACCTAGACTGCAATGGCTTCAGACAACTGGGCCTCAGTGCCTGGATACTTTGCGCCCTGGAATCCTGGGGGCAGCATGAGCCGGCAATAAAGGTGTAAATAAAGACACGTGGCCCGTGGCATTGCTGAGGGCAGGCTGGGGGGATAGAGGGAAGCCCAAGGGGTAGGGCCCCTCCCTCCTGGCTCCGTGAGTCAGGCCTTGGGCTCCCAGGAAATGTGTCCCTGATAACGTGGCAGCTGTCCCTCATTCCTGCCGCAGGGCGGGGGAGGCCAGGCAGCCAGCTGGGTGTGTGTCACCTCCCCAGTGGAATCGGCATCCCAGCACCTGCTGGACACCTCAGCCCAGCTCTGGCCCTGCTGCCCCGCCCCCCGCAGTCAGGAGGACTGGGGTGAGGGTCACAGAAAGGAAGGGTCCAGGGCTCTGGGAATCCAGGGTGTGCCCACACTATCCTGTACCCCCAGAGGGCAACCCCCATCTACACACCCTGATGAATGATGTCCCAAAATAGTCACCTCCAGTGTCCCCAGCACCCATATGACCTCTATACCCTACGAGGGTCCACAACTGTCACCTCCTGCCCAGTGCCCTCGGGCTTGAGGCCCATCACCTCGTATATTCATCCCTCACCTCGCCCAGCACTTCTTGGTCCACCTCCCTGCATTAGTTCAGGCACGTTCCTTGCTGACTACTAAGTCATGGCACAGCTGGGGACAGGGATAAGCCCACGAAGTATGTAGTGGGGACACAGACAGACACCCCTGGCTGGGGATCAGGAAAGGGCCAGAGAGGTGACGTCTGAGCACAGGAGAAGAGCAGATGGGGACCTGGGGCAGGGGAGTGCTTGTGGCGGAAGCCAGAGATGGAGGAAGCAGCGGGGTCACTCTCTGGTTGAGCAGGCAGAGGATGGTGGAGGGCACACCCACAGGGCAGCTGGAAGTTCCCCTTGGGAGTCAGAGGAGGTGGGCAGAGGTCCTTCAGCTGCCAGGTCCCAAGTAAATATCCCCTTGAATCTCCACAGGAACGTACATCCCACTTGCTCCCCATACTCAGTCACCCGTATGCCATTCCCCACAAGCATTTTTAAAATATATATTTTTACTGATTTCAGAGAGGAAGAGAGAGAGAGAAATATCAATGATGAGAGAATCATCGATCGGCTGCCTCCTACACGCCCCACACTGGGGACTGAGCCCACAACCCAGGCATGTGCCCTTGGCTGGAATCAAACCTGGGACGCTTCAGTCCACAGGGTGACGCTCTAGCAGCTGAGCCAAAGCAGCAAAGGCTGCCTTGTGGCTGCTTTTCCATACCCTCAGTTCTGAGGGCACTTCCTTCAGGAGTCCCTGGTGCCAGCCTATCTCAGCTCCTGGAAACACTTCCCGGGTCCCCCATTCTCCCTTCTTTCTCGCAGTTGCTGGTTTGAAATTATTCTGTAATTGCTTGTGATTATTTGTGTCAGAGGGAGTTCAGGGAAGGCAGGCATGGTGTCTGTTTTGTCTCCTGGCCTGGAACAGAGTAGGCACTCGGTAAATATTTGTGAGATGATTGGCACTGCCAGACACGCTCACCGCACACCGATGCGGCTGCGGCTCTTTGGAAGGGCCTGAACCGGCCCAGCCTGGGCGAACCAGGCTCTCAGGCTCAGATCGGGGCCTATGACGGGAAGGGGGCAGGAGCGCTCCGGGAGAACACGGCTGAGCCAAGCCCTGGGAGGCATAACTGGTTTGGGAGACCTGAAAGCCCTGGGCCACAGCGCTGTGGCTCCCGGGGAGCCGGGCCAATGGACATTCCATTCCAGCCTGCCCGGGGCTGTTGTCCGGGGTCAGCCCAGCGCCGGCCGGCAGGCACACACTCACCTGGGGCTGCGGGGCCTGGGGACGGCGGCGCGGAAGCTGGCCGCCCGGCCGGGAGGGCGGGGCGGAGGGCGGGGCGCGCAGGTAGGTGCTTTTCTCCCCGAGCTGCCACCTGAGGCTTTCTGCGGCCAGGCAGTGCGGAGACGTGTCCGCTGAGGGCTGTGCCGTCCCCTTTGTGCCTGCTCCCGCCGGGAAGCCAGCCTGCGACACCTGCCCGCTCCTCCCGCGCGGGCCCAGCATCCTCCCTCCGGGCCGCTCCGGGATCTTGCCGTCGGAACCAGCCCTAGGTCCCTTCCCTTGGTGTCTGCGTCTCCCCAGGGCCCTCACCTGGGTCATGGCCCAGAGGGCAGGCCTGGGGCCTAGGCGGCTGGAGGCCGCTGCCATTCTGCTCTTGCTTGGACTGGTCCGGCCCGGGCTGGGTGAGTTGTACGGGCAGGGGGCATGGGGAGGGGTGCTCCTGGGCTCAGGGACCCCGCACCCTAGCTCTGGGCTTCTCTTCCACTCCGGCTGGGGCTTCCTGGGGGGATGGGCGCTCTCCTGAGAAGTGGCAGGTGCTAAGAGGTCTGGGAACCCGGATCTTTCCGGCTTACCCCTCCCTCCTTCTCTTGCCTTCCAGGAGCCGAGGGGCCGGGGCGAAGGTGAGGCTTGGGGGGGGGGGGCAGGGAGGGAGACACAGACTGAGATTCCCTGGTGTTTGATGAGTGCCTGACCTCTCACCCACCGCAAAGTCTTAGGTCCCACAATAGCTCTGTGAGAGGGGATTGTAGCCCGGGTCCTCCAGATAAGAAGCCCAGGTGCAGGGAAGTGCTTTGCCCAAAGGGCACAGCCAGTGCGTGGCACAGCCAGTCAGAGCTGGAATTTGAATTCCTACGTGGATTGCTTCGAGGGAAACAAACCAAAGGTCTCCTCCGTCTGTCTAAGGCAGTCAGCAGACTGAGTCCTGGCTTCACCACTCGCTGAGCTGGGCTTACTGCTCACCTCGCAAATGAGGCCGACTGCGTTCATCTCCTGGGGCTGTGAGGAGTCCTGAAGAGACAGGCAGCGAAAGCCCCCTCCGGCCTCAAGTTCTGTAGGATTGTCATTATTCTGAGAGGAGGAGCCTGGCGGGCAGTTTCCTCTGCTCCTGGAAGGTGACTTTGAGAAGGGCAGTTGTTCCAAACTGCCAGCCTCAGGGGGCAGGGCAGCCTCCCGCTGTGGGAGCCCAGCTGCTCTGTTCCTTTGTTCAGTGCCCGCACCCACAGCTCCGTCTCCGAGCCCAGCCCCGCGCAGGGCATGGTGACCTGGGGCGCTGCTGGGTCCCGGGCCGTGGGGAGTGCCGGGTGGCGGTGAGGCACAGGGAGCGGGGTGACTGGGCAGTATCAGGGAAGCACAGCCTGGGAGCTCTGGTGCACCGCCTGACTCAGGCACAGGGCAGGGCAGGGCAGGCCAAGGAGGGGCCGCCATAGGCAAATGGAAATTCGCCTAGCAAAGTAGGGCTAAGGAAAGGAATTCTAGGAAGTGACCTTGATGAGCCAAGATCCAGAGGTGAATAAGTGCTGGACCCCATGTCTATGACAGGAAGCATCCTGATGGTTGCCACTGTCATGGGAGGGCTGGGATGTATCTTAAGGGCAGTGAAACCAATGAAACCAGGGAAGGATTTAAGATGGTGTCACCTGGCCAGATTTCTCCTTTATAAAGGTCTTCAGACTTATAAGGGTGGATTGGATAGGAGGCAGAAAGTCCTGGAAGGAGGAAGAAAGGAAGGAAGGGAGGGAGGGAGGGAAGGAAGGAAGGAAAAAACGGAGGGAGGGAGGGAGGAAGGAAAAAAGCCGTAAGAGAACTGAATGAGGGAATGGGTCAAGGTGGCAAAACTGACCTTGCCTGGTAAGCAGTGGGATGGGGACAGAGGGATGGCCAGCTTCTGTGAACTTACTTCCCAGGCTCCAAACCAGATCTCCTGGGCCTTATTGGGAGTGTAGGGCTAAGAACAAGGTATGGGGGCCCCAGAAGGGCCTGACCCCCTCCCCTTCCTCCCTCCCTGGGCAGCCTCTTGCGGTGTGGCCTCCCAAGCACGCATCACAGGTGGTAACAGTGCAACCCCTGGCCAGTGGCCCTGGCAGGTCAGCATCCTCTATGATGGCAATCACGTGTGTGGCGGTTCTCTCGTGTCTGAGCAGTGGGTTCTGTCGGCTGCCCACTGCTTTCCAAGGTACCAACTGGGTTGGGGGCAAGGTGGGGATGCCAAAAGTAGGCTGGAGGTCAAAATTCAGGGATCAATTTAGATAAAAAGTTGGGGTTCTTGGATTGGGTCTAGGGCAGTGGTCGGCAAACTCATTAGTCAACAGAGCCAGATATCAATAGTACAATGATTGAAATTTGTTTTGAGAGCCAAATTTTTTAAACTTAAACTTCTTCAACATAGACTCACCCAGGCCATGGTATTTTGTGGAAGAGCCACACTCAAGGGGCCAGAGCCGCATGTGGCTCTCGAGCCGTAGTTTGCCAACCATGGGTCTAGGGTTATCAATGAAGTCTGAAAGATAAGTCAGGAATGAAGGTCAGAGGTTACAAATCACAGGATAAAACTAGGGCACAGTTTGTGATGTAAAAAATCCTTTGCTGGGATCAGAATCTGGGGTTGGATGCCATAGGGACCAAGGAGCCAGATCTCCTGGGTCCCAGCCTTTGTCCTCCCTGCATGCAGGGAGCACCACAAGGAAGACTACGATGTAAAGCTAGGAGCCCACCAGCTGGACTCCTACACCCCTGCAGCCGAGGTTCGCTCAGTGGCCCAGGTCATTTCCCACCCCAGTTACCACCATGAGGGCTCCCAGGGGGACATCGCACTCGTCCGTCTCAGCAACCCCATCACCTTCTCCCGCTACATCCGGCCCATCTGCCTCCCTGCAGCCAATGCCTCCTTTCCCAATGGCCTCCAATGCACTGTCACTGGATGGGGCCACGTGGCCCCCTCAGGTGAGGTGGGCACTGATGCCTAAGGGCTTGGAGGGAGCCTGACTCAGGGTAGGAGGCTCTGGCTAAGCACCTTTTGCCCCCACAGTGAGCCTCCAGGCCCCCAAGATACTCCAGCAACTTGAGGTGCCACTGATCAGCCGTGAGACGTGTAACTGCTTGTACAACATCAACGCCAAGCCTAACGAGCCCCACTCTATCCAGCAGGACATGGTGTGTGCTGGCTATGTGGAGGGGGGCAAGGATGCCTGCCAGGTAAATGAAGGGGTCCAGTGGAACCAAGGAATCTTGGGAAATGAGGGCTGGCATGGGTGACTGGAGGTCTGGAGCCTGGGCCTGACAGCTGTTGTATGGCTTTTCTCCTCAGGGTGACTCTGGGGGCCCACTCTCCTGCCCTGTTGAGGGCCTCTGGTACCTGGCAGGCATTGTGAGCTGGGGTGATGCCTGTGGGGCCCCCAACAGGCCTGGTGTGTACACTCTGACCTCCAGCTACGCCTCCTGGATTCACCACCATGTAGCGGAGCTCCAGCCTCAGGTGGTGTCCCACCTCCAGGAGTCCCAGCCCGACATCCACCTCTGCAGCAACCATGCGGCCGCCTTCAACTCTGCTCCAGGCCAGGGTTTGTTGGGGCTTACCCTTTTGCTATCACCAGCCCTGACCCTGGGCCTCCTCTAGCCATGGTGGGAGCACTGAGCTACTCGCCCTGGAGGTTGACCCTGTTTCTGGAACTGTCCTACTGTACACAAGGACAGACGCCTGTTCTCAGGAATGGACCTGGCCCCTCCTTGACAGTTTGCCTGAGGCTTTACTCACTCCTTCCTCCCAGGACCCTGTGGGAGCTCAGGGCACCATCATGACCTTTGAGCCCAGACTCCTGGGTTTGTTCTTTGGGACTGTAGCCCAGAGCCAGGAATTTAACTGCCTGTGGTACTGGCTAGAACCTCTGGCCACCTCCTGCCCACAAGCCTATTGGTTGGGCTCCTATGGAGCTCCCAAGGAGCCTTAGCTAAGATGGGCCCTGGCTCTGACGTCTGTGGAAGACTGGGCAGCTGCCCGGCTGACTGCTGCTGAAGGGTTGGCTCCCGTGCCCGACATGCTCTGCCTGATGAGCCCCATCACTGTGCCCTCCTGCTGTCTTCTGGGCTGGAGTTGCCTCTGAGCAGCATGTTTCAAAGGACAGAAAAGGCCCCAATCTTGCCCCAATGGCTGCCAAGCCCCCACTGTGCCCTGATTCCTGGACTCCGGAGGACTGAGCCCCCACCGGAACCGGGCTTGAGCTTGGATCTGGGGTAGAGGGTTGAAGGAGCAAGAAGGAATAAAATGTTTTGAGCATAACTGGCTGTGTGTGTGACATGCCGTGAATAACATCAGCTCTTGGCTTCTTCCTCCCGCCTCCAAAGTCCAGAGCCATCGGCAGAACTTAGTTTATTAAAAAAATGATGAAACAGGCTGTACATATTTACAGGCGAGAGGGCAAGGAGGCACGGGTCCAGCAACAGGGGCACAGGCCACTCACTTCTTGGAAAGTTTGACTTGCTTGTGCTTGGGAGGTGCCCACTTGAGGCAAACAGAGTCCACTGTGGGGAGAAGAGACATGAGAGGCAGGGTTGGACCTCTGGGTCTAGGCCAGGTTTCACCAGGTGAGAACAAGGACAGGCTTGATCCTGGGGAGGGGGCAGGGAAGCCCAGACATGAGTAGCCTGCCCCAGGCTTTGGTCCTGGAAGCTGGTCAGACTGGTTTAAGATCATGTGACAGCAAAAGGAGGCTAAGGCTCCTAGTCGTCCTTACACCTACCCCCGACCACACACGCCAGGAGCCCCCCACCTACCTGTTATAGGTGGTTTCTTATACTGAGCACTTTTGAGGTGCTCCTCTACTAGCTTGGGTGTGACACAGATGACATGCTGGCCTTTCCAGTACTTGACCATGTTGAGGGACTGCAAGGTGCTGATGATGTCATTCTGGGTGATGCTGGTCATCTGGCTGTAGAGAGGGATTGGAGTAGATGCTGGGAGAGTGCCCTTGGGGCTGGCTGGGACAGCAAAAAGGGACAAGGAGACAGATCATGGCCAATCTTAGGAGAACCCTTCCCTCTTGGAGAACTCCAGGAAGCCTCCCTCATGAGATGACGGGGGTGGGGTCCAGGGCCCTCACCTAAGGTCCTTGATGGACAGTGTGCCTCGGAAGTCTCGTAGAATCTCCAGGAGGACCCAAGACCAGTAGCTGCGGTAGCTGAGCTTGCCCAGGTCAGACAGTGGCTTCTCAGGGGAGCCTACTGTGCTCTCTAGCTTGGAGAGCTCATAACCTGGCAGTGGGAGACAGAAGGTCCTAAAATCCCACCCCACCCCACCCCGGTACTTATCTCCACCACAGGGGCCCTTTCGGACGGACAGAACAGGGCCACTCACTAAAAGCAATGAGGAACTTCCCGTAGCCGCGGCGCTGGTAGGGAGGCAGGGTCAGGATGCAGGCCACGTTGTTCCCGTCTGGAGACTCCTTCTCCTGCAGGGGCGAGGTCAGGACTCTGGGGGAGCTCGGCCCCTGCTCCAGTTCACACTCACTGCCCGCCCTCAACCTCGGCTTCCCGACCCAGTACCTTTGAGAAGTAGCCGACAATGTGGGCCCCCTGCCTGTCCACCTCAGTCAAGATATAAAAGACAAAGGGCTCCACGTCGAAGTACAGTGTTTTGTGGTCCAGGAAAAGCTTGGCCAGAAGACACAGGTTCTGACAGTAAATCTGAGGGGTGGAGAGGCAGAGACTCAGGAAGCAAGTACAATGAGCCCATTGAGGCCTGGACAGGAGCTGCCACCCTGCTCTGCAAATGCCAGGCTCCACGGAACAGCCAGTGCCAGTCCGGTAACACTTCACCCACAGCAAGTAATTCTTCCACCCACGTGCGGAGACCGTGCCTCCTCACCAGAACAGGAACAGCACAGGATTTCCGCAGGTGAGTGGGCATACGCAGTTCAAGCCTGTGTTGTTCAAGGCTATGTCCCCAGCACCGAGCACAAGGCTAAGCAAGAAGCCGAGTGCTTGTTAAATATTTGCTGAGTGGAGGACCTCGAGCCTGACTTCAAAGCCCGCAGTCTGCCCGCTTGGCCATGCCCTAGGCTGAGCCTCACCTGCTGCAGGCCCAGACACCCACCCGGCCAGGGACAACGTCAGAGGAACAATGGGACCTTCAGGTAGGCTTCCTGGCACAGATCAAGGGTCCCTCTGGTGTATGCCGCCTTTTATATCCACTCTCATTTGACCCAACAACTGTGTCAGCTCAGCATGGCCAGTCCCATTTACTTAAAGAAAACTGAGGCTCTGGGAGGGAAGGGCTTGTCTGAGACCTCAAAGCTGGCAGAGGGTAAGCCAACAGGAATACCCAGGTCTCCTGGAGAGCCATTTCTGCCACTCGCCCTGTTGCTGCTCAAGAAGGCAGAGCAGGAGACATGGCTCAGTGGATATTCCTTCCCCAAGCAATTAGCACAGGCTGACTGAGCCACCACAGGTCACCAGTAATAAGAAGGCCCATTACTAAGCACCTACTTGCTGCCAGGTACCGCGCTAAGTATGTGACATTGCTATCTCAGTTATTCCAACAGCCCTATTAGGAAAATATGGTCATGACTCCTGCTGAACAGATGAGGAAACAGGAACAAACAATGTTAAGTAATTTGTCTAAGGTCAGCTAGGAAGTGATGGGGTCACTGGAAGCCAGGAGCCACTCGAAGCGTGTCTCCATTAACTGTCCTTCCACGGGAAATGGGGACATTTGGTTCTACCTTCCCAGACTGACAGGCAAAGGCCAGGCTCTCAACAGGAAAGCAGATCCCAATGCCAGAACCTGCCCCATTCAGGCCCGTCCACCAGGAACAAGGAACTGGGCCAGCAGAGCCAGAGCTCTTGGACCGGAAACCTTACACAAAGCAGTTCCGGGGGGGGGGGGAGGGACAGGGGACGACGACGACGACGACGACGGGACACACACCAAACACCTTTTCTTCGGGCAGAAAGAGAAAGCCTTCTAGATACAGCCTCGGGCATGACAATCTTCACTTCAAACCTCAACTATCCCATCAGCAGGAAAGTCCGTAGGGAGAGAATGAACCCCAGTCCCCAAGGCTGGCACGGCAGGCCCACAGACCTCTGTCCTGACGACAGTGAAGATTCCAGAGGTGCCAACGCTCCCATCTCCCCACACCCACGGCCGTGACCCCCAGCTCACCTTGTGGTCTTTGCCATCCACCTCGTACACAGAGATGTTGCTCTTGCGGTAGATCTCCTTTCCTGGGGGCTGTCGCCACTGACACTGGCCCTGGGGTTGGAAGGGGAGAGGGAGGCTTGAGACCTGAGGTTTCCTGCCAGGTGCCTGCATTCTGCCCCATGTGGCTTCCCTACGTGTAGATTCTGGGCTCCACACTTGACCCACATCAAGCAATTCTCCCACCCGCCTGAGACGGCGCCCATCTTACAGAGGACCCCACGGCACACAGGGGCTATGAACCGGCTTGAGCAACACACAGTCGGACGGCTTGGGCCCAGGTCGGCCTGGCTCTAGAGGGCTCTGCAGGGTCCGATCCCTGGCAGTGGTGTTTCCTGAACTGCATACATTTGCCTCCGATTCCACTCTTTGGGAAACATGCGCTGCATGAATAATGAGGTGACACCCTGGCAGCTCGCGTGTACCAATGCCTCCCATCTGTCACTCCTTCCAGGCCCACCGCTCGGGGGCTATGCCTGCTTCTGCTTTTGCACTGAGGAACCTGGCACTGAGTGGCTTTGAGACACGTGCTGAAGGGCAAGGGATCCAAGGAAGGTGCAAGGGCAGAGATTACTGTCCCCATTCTACGGAAGAGGAAACTGAGGTCTGGGAGGGGCAAATTGGCCTAAGTCGCTCCATCAAAAACACAGCCAGGCAGCAATCGGGTCTCTCCACCCCGGGCAGCTTTCCCCGTCCTCCTCTCTGAACGTGCAGCTCTCCCAGGGCCATGGTCAGCGCCTCACCAGGTGGAAGCGGTAGCTCTTCTCGTACTTCATGTACTTGAGGCAGTACTCGCAGAGCCAGAGCTTGGGCTGCTTCCCATAGTCCTCAGGGAACGGTGAGAAGTACCAGGCATCGATTTCGTAGTTCCCGATGTGGATCTTGTCCACATACTTCACCTTGGTGATCTGTGGAGGGCAGTGGATGGCTTAGAGCAAGGAGAGCAGGGGAGAGGGGGAGCCCAGTCAGGACCCCTGCCCCTGCTTACCGCCTCGTGTTCTTTCTCCAAGGCCGCTGTTGTAGGGTCCATCTCTGCATAGGTCTGGGCAAGGAAACAGCAGTGGACAGAGATGAATAGAAGGGAATCTCAGACTGTCCCTCCCCATCCCAGAACCCAGTGCTTCCCTCCTGTCTTCCAGACCTCACATCCTGGCCGACAATAACCATATGAACAGCCAACAGGTGCTACCTGGTTCTGAAGCTGGCTTGTCCACGCTCCTCTCCCATCTGCCCACCCACCCACCCATATATCGCTGACGTCCCTGACACCTGAGTTGAGACCTTTGGCCAGGTGAACAGGGCTAGGACCAGGACCCTGGGTAGTCCTGGGGCTGGTAAGAGCTTCAGCTTTGCAGCGGGATCAGTCCAGATCAGCCAGAGTGGTGGGAGATGAAATAATGATCTTGTCTTCCCTGCTCACAGCAGGATCTGTTGCTGACTCCCCAGTGTGCCTGGACCTCTTTGCTGAACCCCAAAGGAGCTGCCTGCCGCGGGACTGCTCAGAGGTCCCTCCCTCAGGCGTATCAGATTCCAAGTGTCCAGAAGGAACTCATTCTTCCCTCCATGTAAATCTGTTCCCCTCCTGGATTTCCCATCTCACTGGGAGCATCACTCTCAGTCCACATGTCTGAGACCAATCAGGGGCCTATCCTGCCTATCTCAGCCTGGCATTCAATTAACAGCCAAGTCCTGCCAACTCTACCTCCTTGGAACCCCTGGCACTGGTCCCTCTGGTATTCTCCTGTCCTATGCCACACAGCCACGGCCACCTCAGGTCTGGACATTGACTAGGGCTCCTGAGATTCCCAACCTCCAGCCTCAGCCTCTTCAAATCTCCACTGCTCTCAACCCTTCCTTTCCCAGCCTTTGTGCCTTTGCACATAAAGTTCCTTCCACCTCGAATGCCCTTCCTTATCCTATTGCTGCCAGAAAATGCTTACTCAACCCAGCAGAGGGTGAGCCAGGTGACACATGATACGGCAGAACTCCGTGAGCTATCACGTGTAGTTGTGTTTACTGTGCTCTTTCCTGTCCCTCAAGGCCAGCATCCTTCCCATCCCCTCCAGGAGGCCGGACTGGATCCTCCCAATGCAGAATATACCCTGCCTTTCTCAGCCAGGGACACAGGGATCTACAATAACCTCTAACTGCCCCTCTTGGCTCCCCCTATTTTCCAAGTTCTTAGAAAGCGGGACTAAGAGTCACGTTACACTCACAGCACATCCTGTTCCTAGGCCAGACTCTGTAGGAGGAACCAAGGACAGCCTGAAAATGGAGTGGGGACCCAAGAAGGCCTATGACCTACACCAGAGTGGACAGCAGCCTTGCCCTGCAGGTGAGAAGGGAGAAAAGGAGCCAATGTTTTACTCGGAAAGCCCTTCCACAAAGCAGCTGGGCTGTATGGCCTCCTATCTACAGCACTCACTTCTATTTCAGAGAAGTAAACAGGCAGGGAAGGTGAGGTCACTGGCCTGGGGGATGAACTAGCTGCCATTATTCCAAGTACCAAGCACTCCACAGGCATTATTTCATTTAGTCCTCACAATAGGCTTGAGACAAGATTGCTCATTATCCGCTCTGCTCAAAAGAGGAAACTGAGGCACAGAGAGGTGAGGTCACTTGCCCATCACAGAAAAGGTACTCAGCACAGTTGGGCACAGGCCCCTGGTCCAACTCTTGAGTCTAATCCCTGCAAAGATGGGAGAAGAAAGATTTCCTCATTTTCTTCCTCAAATGTCTCCTTAAACGTACTTCCCAGTTCTCAAAGTACAATCCTTTTCTGCAAATCATTAAAGAACTACAAAAACACTGCTTTTCTTAAATGCTGCGATTTATTTAGAATTAAACATTAACTAGGTTCTGAAGAATCTTACTGCCTGTGAACTCGATGATTATCCAGGCTTTGATTTTATCACCCGGCCCACTTGTCATCTGCCTGGCAGAGTGCCAGAGTAGAGGTGCATCTTAGAGACTTAACTGGCCGGGGAATTGGCTGAGGAACCGAGAAACTCAGACCTGTGCGGCCCAATAGCGTATCCACTAGCCACATGTGGCTACTTCAATTGAAATTCATCAAATAAAGTTCAATTCTTAGTACACTAAACATTTCAAGCTCCCAATAGCCCCATGTGGTTACTCTATTGGACAGTACAGATACAATTTATCACAGGAAGTTCAATTGGACAGTGCTGCCTTAGACCATTTCAGTTTTTATTTAATTTTTATCACAAATCACAGTAGGAAGTGCAGGGAGCACGTAAATAAGTTGATGTTTACACATACACATACATGTATTTGTATGTGAAATAAAAACTTCTCAAAATAATACTTACCTTTAATAAAGTGCAATGCACTCTGATATTTTCTCTCTTATCCTATTTCTTTTTTCCATTAAAAAAATTTAAGTGATGGTCACAGCCCACTAAAATGATTTGATAATCTACTAACAGTTGTGCTCCACAGTTAGCAAAACATTGCTGCAGCTGAAACCGGTTTGGCTCAGTGGATAGAGCGTCAGCCTGCGGGCTGAAAGGTCCTGGGTTCAATTCCAATTAAGGGCATGTACTTGGGTTGTGGGCACATCCCCAGTAGGTGTGCAGGAGGCAGCTGATCGATGATTCCCTCTCATCGATGTTTCTAACCCTCTATCCCTCTCCTTTCCTCTCTGTAAAAAAATCAATAAAAAATATATTTTAAAAAAATAAAAAACATTGCTGCAAAGCACACTTAGAAATCACATTAAATCAAAACTAATGTCTGTGTGTCCAGAAAGCTCAGAAAGTCCAGTTCTCTTGCATTCCCCACTTCACAAATCAAGAAACTGAGGCTCAGAGAAAAGTAGCCTCCCAGGGGCAGGCTGGCTTGATGAAAAGAACCCAGATTTTGGAAACAAGTGGCCTATTTCTAGGATGTGTCAAAGTCATGGTTAAGGATTTATGCTCAGAAGTTGGACAGTGGCAAATCTAATTCCCAACTGGGTCCCTAAACTTATAGGTAGCTCCCATATAAATGGGGATAATAATGTTTACCTCACAGGGTTGTGAAACTTCAGTGAGATCATATATTCAAACACTTAGCCTAAAACTTTGGGTCACAAGCCAATAAATGTCTGTCACTATTGTTCTAATTCCAGCCCACCCTTTTACTAGCTGTGTGACCTTAGGTATGTTAGATAACCTCTCTGAGCCTATTTACCCATTTACAAAAAATATATACAGGGTGGGGCAAAAGTAGGTTTACAGAGGTAAGTTTATGAAAGAGTTTATTCTTTTATTATTGTATTATTTTCCATATAAACAACTGTAAACATACCTTTGCCCCATTCTGTGTGTGTGTACATATGTATAAAAGGCGAACATGCGAAGTATCGCCTCCAGGAGACTGATCACTCGCTATGATGTGTGCTGACTATGATGTGTGCTGACGACCAGGGGGCAGCGTGGAGCAAAGGCAGGCCCCAGCCAGCTGGGGAAGGAAGGCTCCAATCAGTCCTGATCACCAGCCAGGCCTAGGAACCCTACCCGTGCACGAATTTCATGCACCAGGCCCAGCAGGGTTCTGGGCAGTAGCAAATGCTCAATATCATTCATTCTTTTTTCTTCCCTTTGGACTTCAAGTCGGTTTGTCTAATGTGGAACAAGAAGATAAAAAACACTGTCTGTGCAGGAGGCCTTCATTCGTCCCAGCTGTGCCATTTGCTAGCTGCGAGACTGTAGCCAAACCCTTGCCCTCTCTGAACCTGTTTTCTCATCTGGGAAGAGCACATGAGGAGAGATAGGTGAGTCTCTGACACACTGTAGGAGCTAAGAAACGGGAGCTGTTTTGGTTTTGGAACTGGGACCCAAAGGAGTTGGCAGAGGCAGCAGAGCCTCTGGGGCCCCGGGGAGGGGGAGGGAGCCCGGACCTTCTGCACATGGTTGATCTCATCATGCTTGCGCTTTTGGTTGCGAGTGATCTTGCGCTCAGGCTGCTCAGCCAGCTCGCTCAGGTACTTCTCCGAGTTCTTCTGCACAGCATCCTTCACAGTCTTGGTCAGTGCCAGCCGGTTCTTGTCTACCCATTCGTCTAGTCGCCGGTTAACTGTGAGGATGCGCCATGAGGGTGCTGCCCTTCCACCCCTCTCCCCCACCCACGCCGATACCCAGGTCACTCACAGCCCACATAGTGCACATAGAATTCCTCTCGGCCCTCCTGGTCATTGACTCGAGACTGGATCACCTCAGCAGAATCTGGGAAGGAAAAAAGCTAGGGTCATCAGGAAGGCAGAGCCCAGACACTGAGAGCTGTTTCCGCTTTCACATGGAAGCTAACCTCACCTGTCCACATCGGCCATTCAATTCAATCACTGCCTGTGAGGTGCACCAGGTCAGGACTGTTATTATTTTGCATTTGAGAAAACTGAGGCTTTCCCAGGCTCACAGATTTGAAAAGTGGTAAGAGCCAATACTTAACTGAGCTTAAGCCTGACTCCAAATTTAATGCTTGGTTTACTATATTCAGTCGTTCTTCAGAGGTCATGAGGGCTGGTTCTGGAGTCAGACAGACTGGGCTTATATGTAATTCCAGCTCCCTATCCAGTTCTCTGCTATTTTAACTGAACAAGTTATTTTGACTTTCTGGGCCTCAGTTTCTTAATCTTTAAAACAGAGATAATAGTGCTCACCAAGCTTTTAGTACAGTGACTGACAACTAGCAGACCATTCAGCAAATGAGGAAGGCAACCACTGCGTGTCTGGCCTATGCTTTGTTGTTGCTAGATACTGAGGACATGGCAATGAATCACAAGCAGTCCTGCCTTCCAGAAGTTCCCACTTTGATGGGGAGGATACCCACAGAAAATGACAACAAAGTTACATACGCAGTGGCTGAGGTAAGAACGTGACAGAAACACACAGAAGGGAATGACTCACTTTGCCTGAAGGGAACCAGGAATAGCATCACAGGGAAATATGTGTTAAAAGGATGAGTAGGAGCAGGGTAGGTGCGCAAGGAGAAAGGGAAGGGCATTCCAAGCAGAGGGAACAGGAGGCAAAAGGTCTTCAAAGGGTACAGTGCGGATTGGTCTGGCAATGACCCTTGCTAGGAGTGGCTAGAAACCAGAGGACACAAAGACGCATGTCATTCAACGGAATTATGAAGGGAAGGGAGGGAAGGGAGAGGGAGAGCCCAGGTAGGGGAGGTCTTTTTAGTTCTGGGAGGTCCTCTCCGCTGGTGGCTCTAGGGGGCAGGTGGAAGGGGAAGTCGCAGACAGGAGACCATGAGGAGGTAAGGTTAAGGAAAAGGGATGAAACCTAAAGTTAGCAAGGAAGTGGGATGGGAGCTCTCCATACACAAGAATTTGGTGATGACCTCACTGGTGGGTTCGTACGACTGCCCGAAACTCCGCGTTCTTCCCCCACGCCCCGCCCCTACCACGCCCAGACCTTCCGAGAACCACCCCGGCCCGACCCGCCCCAAACACGCCCGGCCCGGACTCCGCCCTCACGCCAGGTGCTGTCCGGCCGCCGGCACAGGTAGGTCTCTCCGATCTCCACGGTGACTTCCGGCTCGCCGCGCGCCGGGGTCGGCGGAGAGATGCGGCCCGGGGATGGGGCGGCCCCCTCAACCGCCGCATTCTCCCCGGGCCCGGGCTCGCCCTCCCCCGCGACCCCCGAAGTCGCGGCCGCCACCGCCGCAGCCGCCCCCGGGGCCGCCATCGCTGGGGTGGAAATGACGCAAGAGCCCCGCGCCGGGCTCCGGGCGGCGCGCGGTGGGCGGAGCCTGTGACGTGGCGGCAGCTCATTGGCCGCGGGGCCGCGTCCGGGCGCCGGGCCGCTGCTGCTTAGCCGCGGTTCCTCCTCTCGGGGGGTGGTGGCTGCGCCCCGGCGCTGAGGCCTCTCCCGGCGCGGGGTCAGCTCGGGCTTTAAAGGCCCGGCCCGGAGGCAGCCAGGCCGTGCCAGCTCTGAGGGCGCCTGTGCTCCTTAACCCGCGGCCCGCGGTTAGGGCTGGAGGCCTTTGGCACCCACTCCTGCCCCGCCATTTCCGCCAGCCTAGAGCGGTCACCCCTTTTCTGAAGATGGAAGAAGCGGCCTACTTGTTAAGATGGATAAAGGAGGGGGGGGGGGGCGCTGGAAGAGGGTCCAGGACAGCCAGTAAACCCCTCTAATCTAGCCTTTCCAAAGAATGGGCCAGACCCCCAAAGCAGACGTGCTCGGGACAGGAACTGGTCAGAGGTAGTGGTCATAATGGAGAGGTGCTGGGCTTAGCGACCGAGGAATCCCGGTTTTAGACCCTACTCTGGGGAAGTTTTAAAGTGTTCATTCTCAGTGTTGATAACAGCTGAAACTATATATAACTGTACAAACCACAGAACTGTATTCACCTTCTATATATATATATATATATATATATATATATAGTGGTGCTCAATAAACATTCCTCTTGGCCACTCTCTGAATCTCCAGTTTATAATTTGGCTGTTGGACTTAGAATGAATTCTAAGAGCGGTGACCTCCTTGGGGCCAGAGAATGGGACTCAGGCTACAGATCAAGAAATAGGTATTTGTGGGAGTTGGCAGTGTAAATGCTGGTAACTTGGCTTAGGGAAATGGAGTTTGAGGGAGGGCAATGAATGCCAGGTGTCTGGAAGCATTAAAAAAAAACAACAACAACAACAACAGCCGAAACCGGTTTAGCTCAATGGATGGAGCATCGACCTGCGGACTGAAAGGTCCCAGGTTCGATTCCGGTCAAGGGCATGTACCTTGGTTGTGGGCACATCCCCAGTAGGTGGTGTGCAAGAGGCAGCTAAGAGATGATTCTCTCATTGATGTTTCTGACTCTCCATCCCTCTCTTTATCTCTCTGTAAAAAAATCAAAATATACTAAAAAAAAAAAGAAATAAAAAGTTAAAATGGTAATGTCTTCTCCCACTCTCCAACCCTCTCCTTCATCTTCAATCTTGTTATTCTATCTACCCAGTGTTCTGGTGCCTCACTTTTGACTTCCCCTGACATCTTCAATTAGGGATGCTATTCCTTCTAGGATTACCATAAACTTTGTAAATCCCTGATCAGGGTCACTCCACCAGCCTCCTCACTGTTCTCCCTCCTATCCACCAACCACCATTGGTTCTTCTAATGTGCAAATCTGACTTTTCTCCAAAACTTAAACAGAAGTTTCACCCAGACCCCTGGAGTCTCTTCGTTGCTTATGTGTGCCAAATTACATTCTGTGTGTGTGCAAAATACAGCACCAGAGGTTCCCTCTGACTAAGAACTATTTCAAGTATCTCCCGACAGTGTCTGTGGAGCTTAGCTCTCTTGCCTCCAACGCTGGCAGAACTTACAGCTCTGGTCTTCTACTGAGATCACATCCTTTCCTGGCCTCCCGCTCTTCCCTTTCATGCTTCCCCGACTCCCTTCCGGGAGTGTTTTCTCAACAAACCACTTGGATACAAACCTCCTCAGGTTACGCTTCTAGGGAATCCAACCTGATATGATACACGCTTTCCTAGCTTAATACACATCCATGGGCCCCTGCTGCCTCCAGGGTAAAACCCCTGCTTCGCTGTACAGCAAGGGTGAGGAACCTTTTTTCTGCCAAGGGCCATTTGGATACTTAGAACATCCTTTGCGGGCCATACAACATTATCAACTTAAAAATTAGCCTGCACCCGGCCAGTGTTGCTCAGTGGTTAAGTGTCCACCTATGAACCAGAAGGTAACAGTTCGACTTCCGGTCAGGGCATATGCCAGGTTCCGGCTTCATTGCCAGTGTGGGGCCTGCAAGAGGCAGCCAATTGATGATTCTCTCATTGTTTCTTTCTCTCTCTCTTTTCTGAAATCAATAAAAATATATATTTTTAAATTAGCCTGCTATATTTGCTCAAACATCTAATTAACTCACTCCTAATGCCTTGGCAAGGCCAGACCAAATGATTTTGTGGGCGTTATATGGCCCGTGCCGCCATTCCCCACCACTGCTGTACAAAGTCCTGCAGCTGACTGCTGCCACCTGCCTTTCCAGCTTGGCAAGTCACTGGGTTCCGGTGCCCCCCCATCAGCAGTCCCACCAGGCCTTTCTCCTTCCCTGGCAAGCTGGGCAGGGGGGACTCCCCTGCTCTAGGGGACCCTTTCCTATCAGTCTCCCCACCAGGGCCCCACGGTCCTCTGGAGCCTGCCAGGGCACAACCGTGTGTTCCTTTCCTTGCAGCAGCAGGCACAGGTGGTGGGCAGTATTTTTAACCTTACTTGGGCTCAGGAATCAGGTGGCTCGGGAGGTTGCCCAGTCTGGTGACTTTCATCTCCAGAACCTGTGACTGCCAGGAAGGCAGGAGTCAGAAATGGAGCCTGAAGCTGGGCCAACCTGGGCCTTCAATATTGTCCGAGAAGCAGAAACATTTGTTAAACGAAACGAATGAAAGGTCTTTGAACAAACTGCCAGGCACCCCCAGCCCCACCAAGTCAAAGTGCAAGAGACTTGGGGCAAATTCAGGGTGAACACAATGGCCCAGGGAACCTGAATGGGGTCAGAAACGAGCTCACCTGCCCTCCCCACATGGGGCCCGAGAGGGGGCATTCAAAATGTGAACTTTAATAACAGCAGGTCAGAATGGAGTTCCCCAGGAACAAGAATGATCAGGCCGGTGCTGGGGTCCCCACTTCCTCCCCTCCAAGGCCTGGAGGCAGCCAAACACTGGACCCTGTTGAGGAGGAGGGTGTCCGGCTCCATGTAAGTCCATCTGCTCGGCATCGTAAGACCCAGGATGCAGAGGGTGTGGAGCCCAGTGGCCCCGCCTGGCCCAGAAGGTCCCGGCGGCTGTGGCCCAGGCTGGGCAGCGAGCAGGCCGGGGCTGTGGGGTCAGATGCGGAAGCTCTCCTCCCGGCCATCAATGTGACGGAGCCGCAGGTAGACATCCGTGCCAATGCCCTGCAGGGACTGCAGCCGAAGGGAGCCACCGAGGTACTCGGCGTAAGCCCGCGACGTGGGCAGCCCGAAGCCGAAGCTGGGGGAGGAGGGACAGGACAGGAGCTTCAGAGGCGTGAGTCTCCAAGGCCCCGCACCCTCCAGCATGGCCAGTGGGGCTCACCCGTGCATGGGTCCTGTCTGGACGCCACTGTGCATGTCCAGGTGGCCGAAGAGGGGGTTGATCCGGGGATCCTGGGTGCTGGACTCGGCCGTAGTGAAGTGGTAGTCCATGACCCGGTCCAGGTCTTTGTGAGCGATTCCCCCGCCCCGGTCTGAAATCCTGGCAGGACGTGGATAACAGGAGCTTGCCTCAGCTTGGGGGCAGGAAGGGGGGGCTCACTACCTCCCATGCAGACAGTGCCGTCTTGTCCCTTTTAGCCAAAGGTGGAATGCTGTCCACCCAGCCTTGGGCCTTGTTTTTTGTGAGCTACATTTCTCTATCCTCACTCTGCCTGGGCCACTGACTGCTTATACCTTCTACAAGATCTGACCTTTCCAGCCAGCATTATAGACCGTTTACTCACAACTCTTTCCCCATTCTAGGCCCCTCACTCTCGAACAAAGACAAGGCCCTGGGGCAAGCATGCCAAGCATGTCAAACTTGCCCGCATGCCCGTGCGCCTTCTTTTCTTGGCCCGGTTGGCCTTTGAGGTTGACACGCTTGCCCTAGGCCCTGCACCTGGCCCCGGACTCATTCTTATGCAGCTCATGGCAATCTCAGGACCACAGGGTATCTTGTGACCAAGTCTCAGAGTGGGGCAGGTACCGGTTTGAGGTCAAACAGCAAGTCATAAACATCGCCAGAACAACCCGTCCACCCTAACCCACTCGGGGCAAACCTGATGACGAGATCAATATCGTTGTTGGCGATAGTGATGACCACATCTGGGACATTGTAGGGAGTGTCTAGGTGACTCTCCATCGTGGCTCTATACAGGGGGAAAGACCAGTAGTGGGTGGGGGGACCCCAGCTTCACCCCAGTTCCTGGCTGTCGTCTTCCAGCACACCAGCCAGCCCACCTCATGGCGTTCTTGAGCAGCTCGGGCAGCACGTAGTCCAGCGGCATGGGGATGAAGGGGAAGCGCGCAGCCACGTGGCCGTTGATGCGGACGCGGGGGGCGTTGCCGTACTTGTGCTCACACAGGCGTCTGTGCGGAGGGGCAGTTCAGACCCGGACCAGCGTCCTCGAGGAGATGCTGCTTCGCCCATGCCCCCCCCCCCCCGGGGGGGGTTTTGCAATTTCTAAAGACACTTTTGTTTGTTACAACTGGGAAGTACTACTGACATCAAGTGAGTAGAGGCCAAGGATCCTTCTAAACATCCCAGCAAGCACAGGACAGCCCCTCACAAAACAGAATGATCAGACCCAAATGCTAACGGTGCCACAGTGGAGAAACCCTGTGGTAGAGCATGCTCCAGGCAAGGGCTCAGACCGAGCCTTCCCTGCCCAGAGGCACCCCCTTTCCCCCACCTCTTCAGCTGCTCTAGCCTCACCTGGCAAAGTCCACCCACTTTTCAATGATCTTCTTTGGCGAGAGGCGAGTGCAGATGATGCCGACAAAGTCAGGCTGTCAGGAGAGAGAAGGCCAGGATAGCAGCTGACCTGCTTCTTGGCACCAAATGCTTGCAGCCTCTGGATTGCTGAAATAGCCCCAAGCCCCTCCCAGGTGGACCCGGGACCCGGCGCCGCACCTTGTCCTCATGCAGTGCCAGGTGATGTGTGGCCAGCATGCGGATCCCGAGCCTGGAAGTCAGCGTCTTGTCCAGGAAGTAGCGAACAAGCTTCTCGTCCTGCAAACAGCGGGGCCTCAATGATGCTGT